TTCTCTTGAAGAAAAAATTATATAATAAATATTACATAGATAGTGTATATTACAAAAATATTTCTCTGCATCTCTTTTTTTCATTCAAGCAATACTATAAACACGAATCATATAAATTCAATAGTCAATTTTGTTTTTTCCATAATCAATGAAAAAAAAACATAACTTGCAAAAAATCTAATTTAACAAATAAAATATGCATAATATGTAAAATATAAAAAATTAAATTCAATGTATTGGGTAACTCAGATATCAAGAGATATATTAAAGAAAATATGCTTAACATTTAAATTATACAAGATTAAATTCATATACAAACACGAATCATACAAATTCAATATTTGGCGAACAACACAAAACAACAATATTTAATAAATAATTCAAATTTAAATACCGAAAAACAATGATACAAATTTACAAGCAATACTATGAACATGAATTATACAAATTTAATATTTAGTGAATAACATGAAACAACAATTTTTACTAAATAATGCAATACTAAATAACGTTTAGTTTAACAAAATATACTAAGAATATAAATAATTCAAAAAAAATGATATAAAATNAGTGTCTGATTCAAACAAATAGTGCATCTCTCTATAGATAGATATTATATATCACAGAGAGATAATATATTACAAAAATATTCATCTGTATCTTTCTCTTGAAGAAAAAATTATATAATAAATATTACATAGATAGTGTATATTACAAAAATATTTCTCTGCATCTCTTTTTTTCATTCAAGCAATACTATAAATACGAATCATATAAATTCAATAGTCAATTTTGTTTTTTCCATAATCAATGAAAAAAAAACATAACTTGCAAAAAATCTAATTTAACAAATAAAATATGCATAATATGTAAAATATAAAAAATTAAATTCAATGTATTGGGTAACTCAGATATCAAGAGATATATTAAAGAAAATATGCTTAACATTTAAATTATACAAGATTAAATTCATATAAAAACACGAATCATACAAATTCAATATTTGGCGAACAACACAAAACAACAATATTTAATAAATAATTCAAATTTAAATACCGAAAAACAATGATACAAATTTACAAGCAATACTATGAACATGAATTATACAAATTTAATATTTAGTGAATAACATGAAACAACAATTTTTACTAAATAATGCAATACTAAATAACGTTTAGTTTAACAAAATATACTAAGAATATAAATAATTCAAAAAAAATGATATAAAATTAAAAGCATTACTATAAACTCGAATCATACAAATTCAATAGTTAATTTTATTTTTTCCATAATCAATAAAAAAAAACGTAACTTGCAAAAAATCTAATGTAACAAATAAAATATGCTTAAGATGTAAAATATATAAGATTAAATTCAAGTTATTGGGCAACTCAGATATCAAGAGATATATTAAAGAAAATATACTTAACATTTAAAATATACAAGATTAAATTCATATACAAACACGAATCATACAAATTCAATATTTAGTGAACAACACAAAGTAACAATATTTACTAAATAATTTAAATCTAAATACTTGAGAAAAATGATACAAAATTACAAACAAGAGAAATGATACAAAATTATAAGCAATATAATGAACACAAATCATACAAATTTAATATTTAGTGAACAACACGAAATAACAATCTTTACTGAATAATCTAATACTAAATNCGAACAACAGAAAACAACAATATTTAATAAATAATTCAAATTTAAATACCGAAAAACAATGATACAAAATTACAAGCAATACTATGAACATGAATTATACAAATTTAATATTTAGTGAACAACATGAAACAACAATTTTTACTAAATAATGCAATACTAAATAACGTTTAGTTTAACAAAATATACTAAGAATATAAATAATTCAAAAAAAATGATATAAAATTAAAAGCATTACTATAAACTCGAATCATACAAATTCAATAGTTAATTTTATTTTTTCCATAATCAATAAAAAAAAACGTAACTTGCAAAAAATCTAATGTAACAAATAAAATATGCTTAAGATGTAAAATATATAAGATTAAATTCAAGTTATTGGGCAACTCAGATATCAAGANTTAACAAATAAAATAGGCTTAAGATGTAAAATATATAAGATTAAATTCAAGTTATTGGACAACTCAGATATCAAGAGATATATTAAAGAAAATATACTTAACATTTAAAATATACAAGATTAAATTTATATACAAACACGAATCATACAAATTCAATATTTAGTGAACAACACAAAGTAACAATATTTACTAAATAATTTAAATCTAAATACCTGAGAAAAATGATACAAAATTATAAGCAATATAATGAACACGAATCATACAAATTTAATATTTAGTGAACAACACGAAATAACAATCTTTACTGAATAATCTAATACTAAATAACGTTTAGTTTAAGAAAATATACTAAAAATATAAATAACCAAGAAAAATAGTATAAAATTAAAAATACTATTATAAACTCGGATCACACAAATTCAATAGTAATGTCGTATCTTTTGGAAGTTAGTTGAATTTATGATAGTTATATTTGGTCATTTGACAAAATCTGCAGACTTAATTTATTTGTAGGAGTATTGTTATAATTTTCATTCTATTAGTTATGAATTCTATTATTATTTAGATAAAGTTGATTATGAATGTTAAAATCGTGGATTTTGAGTCAAAAATAGAACATTGAATATTGTCAACTGATATATTTTTTCAGATGTTTGAATTATTATGTTTCAATAGTTATAACATAATTTTTGTGGCGTAACAATTTAATGTGAAAATATATACTATGCATGTAGGTTGATGTTATAAAAAATATTAGCGGACTCATTTTGTTTGTCGTTTACTACAATGTTGTATTTTACTTTACATTTATGTATGGACAAATATTTATAACTAATTTACAAGTAACATCGTGTCTTCAGGTACTAGCAATTGCTAGTCTATATAATAAAGTAGAACGAAGTTTAAATCCAAAAGACAAAGAGAGGTCCAAATCGTTTTGAGACAAAATATAAACACATCCAGCGGATAACGTAATCCCAACATAAAAGACGGTTCAGATCATCTCACAAATACTGATCCAACGATCGTAATTGGCCTAACTCTAAAACTCCTTTCTCTCATGTAACTCTCTCTCTCTCTCTCTCTTATCTCTTAGATATTTTAAACATAATATCTCATATCCTCTCTTTCTCTCTATATCTATATAATAAAGTAGAACGAATTTGAATTTTGAAGATAAAGAGTGGTCTAAATCGTTTTGTGACAAAAAAAAAACGTCATCTAACGGACAATGTTATTCCAAACTGTCTCGAGCTATTGATGTTTTTTGATCTGACGTACAACATTAACTCTTTTGAAATATTTTTACTACTCAAAATTTATAGTTTTCAAAATTGATATTCCAAAATTTAATTTTTTCAATTTTTTTTTCTTAAATAAAGAAAATCTCTCTCATTCCTATGTATCTCTCTCTCATACTCAATTCACGCAAAAAATATCAATTTTCTATAATATTTTTTTTTGTATCTCACAAAATATCACGAAAAATATTAAATAGTGCCTGATTTTAGCAAATACTATATCTCTCCGTAGATAAACAGTATATATCACAGAAAAAGATAATATATTACGAAAATATTTTTTTGTATCTCTCTCTAAAGAAAAAATATGTAATAAATATTATATAAATAGTATATATCACAAAAATATTCTTAGGTATCTCTCTCTTTCATTCAAGCAATACTGCAAACGCAAATCATACAAATTCAATAGTTAATTTTATTTTTTCCATAATCAATAAAAAATCATAACTTGTAAAAAATCTAATTTAACAAAGAAAATATGTTTAACATGTAAAATATACAAAATTAAATTTAAGTTATTGGGCAACTCAGATATTAAGAAATATATTAAAGAAAATATGTTTAACATTTAAAATATACAAGATTAAATTCATATACAAATACGAATCATATAAATTCAATATTTAGTAAACAACACAAAATAACAATATTTACTAAATAATCTAAATATAAATATTCGAGAAAAATGATACAAATTTATAAGTGAGAGAAATGATACAAAATTATAAGCAATACTATGAATACAAATCATACAAATTAAATATTTAATGAGCAACACGAAACAACAATATTTATTAAATAATTCAATACTAAATAATATTTAGTTTAAGAAAATATAATAAGAATATAAATAACCTAGAAGAAGTACTACTATAACCTCGAATTATACAAATTCGTTAGTCAGGTTGTTTCTATTAGAAGTCGGTTGAATTTCTGATAGTTATATTTAGTCATTTGACAACGTCTTATAGACTTAGTTTATTTGTAAGAGTATTGTTTTAATTTTTATTTTATTAGTTATGAATTCTTTTATTATTTAGATAATGTTGATTATAAATGTTAAAATCGTGAATTTTGAATAAAAAATAGAACATTGAATATTGTCAACTGATATATTTTTTCAGATGTTTGAATTATTATATTTAAGTAGTTATAATATAATTTTCGTGACACAATAATTTAATGTGAAAATACATGTTATGCATGTAGGTTGATGTTATAAAAAATATTAGCGGACTCATTTTGTTTGTTATTTACTGCAATGTTATATTTTTCTTTACATTTATGTATTGACAAATATTTGTAACTAATTTACAAGTAACATCGTGTCTTCAGGCAATGAGAATTGCTAGTCTATATAATAAAATAGAACAATTTTAAATTTTAAAGATTAAGATCATTTCATGACTAAAAAAAATATAATCCCATGAACGACGCTATCCCAAACTCTTTCGAGCTAGGATCATTTTAGAATTATGGATTCAACACAACATATTAACCCTTGAAAAAATTAAAGCCGCCTAAATTTTTTAATTTCAAAATCCCACAAGTGACTCCATTTAATTTGGCCAAATATTCTGCCCCTCTGTGAAAAAAAATCTCTTCTTTCTCCCTATCTCTATTCTCTGTCTAACTGTGTCACACTCTCTCTATTCGTCTCCCTTTCTCTCTCTCCCCGACTCTCCTCTGTCCCAAGCCACCCCAAAGACGATGCCAACGACCCCGGCGACGCTATACTCTCTCTAACTGATGTATTTCCGCTGCTCATTCTGTGCGCACGTCGCACCAGGTAGATCACAACTCTCTGTTTCTCACCCTCTACGTCTCTATCTCTCTGCTTCTTTGTCTCCGCTGACTGCTCAACACACACAGGACATACACACACCACGCTCATAAGTTGTTCGACAAAATGCCCCTAACTATATGCACACACTCATCTCAGCCCTTCTCTGTTTCCATTTCGATTTTATTTTCCTGTTCTTTCAATTTTGGTTTCTAATTTTTGAATTAGATTGGTGATTGAATTCTATGGATATTAAACAATTTTGAAATTTAAATCAAAATTGAGAGGCTGCTGTGATTGTTTTGGATTCGCAATATTTTTCCTGGTGAGAAGGGCTCTCAAAGACACTCTGAATTGAATGTATCAGATTTTAAAGAGTTAACATATGTTCAATTGTTCTTACTTTTCTGGGCTTTATGGAATTTTACCCAATCCAATTGACTTTTTCCCCCCTTCTTTCATTACTTCAACAGGAATTCATATTGAACTCTTGGGGAATGAAATTTTTCAATATAAAGACTGCTATCAACCTGTAAGACAAAAACTTTGATCTTTTGTGTCATTTATAGACCATGGATGCAGCATCTCAAAGAAAGGGAAATTATCTATAATGCGCCTAATTATTTGATTAATGTTAGTTAATTTTATAATGGTTATCTATGAAATGGTGAATTTGTTGTGGATTTTTATTAAAGCTATTAAATAACATGATTGTACTTTAATATTGGGTGTGAATTGTTGAAATAGGTCATTAATTGTGTCCTTGAAGAATGTAGGCCACATACCTGCCAATCCATTGTTGGATGTTTTGGTCCATCAATTTACTTGAGTTGTTTTAGCCTTTAATTAAATGATTAGGGAGTGATATAATTGTAGGGTGCTGTGATGGAATTTTGGGATCCATTTGGGAAATAAAAGTGTATGGTTGTTGCAAGTTTTTAAAAGGGAAAAAAATTCATTGTGCAATTTTGTGACTTTGCGTAGCTGTGATTTTCTTTGTTGGATGTTTATTATTCTTAATCATTAGAATTTGTCATGGGCACTTAAATTGTCAGCCGATAGAGTTCAAATTGTTGAGAGCTATTCATGATTGTTTTACCCTTTATTCTCTTTATTTCTCTGAGATCGAATAATCATAATTTATTATTATCCTCTTTTATTTCTTAGTTTTTTGGTTGAAGATGATTGTTTCAATTTCATGTTTACAATTTCAACTCAAAGACTTAATAGTTGGAAGCGCCACATCATGCTTCTTGGTTTTGCATGGAGGTTTTGTTCGGCTTTATACTTACGTTGAAGACGGTATAGGTTTATTGTTGTTATTGTGATCATATTGGTTGATATTTTGTCTAACTTAATATTTGTTAGAAAATATCTCATATTTGCAAAGGACTATGAAGTTCTTAATAGGTTAATATACAGAGATAAAATATTCAAGGAAATATAGGAATGACATGCTATGAATTTGTGAGTTGAATTATTTAGTAATGGAATGTTCAACATCATTTTTTCATTTGTGGTTTTGGTTGTGATCAATGTTTATATTGTTTGGATTGAATTCTTTATGATAAATGCTACCATTGTTGTCACCAAAGATAAATATGAAAAGTTGAAATTTTTATTGAAAAATTAATTATGGGTCTGCAGTTAGCCATAAAAAGAAATACCTTTCTAATTGGTTGGATCATTGTTGAGTTAAATTTAGTTAGATTGAACTAAGAAGAAAAATTAGAGGGAATGAAAGAAAAGAACGTAATTTATTTGGAATTGTGTAATTCTAGAAAACGAAGAAAAAAATAAATTATTAATGTATTATATTTATATTACACTATTGGTCCTAGATTTTTAGTGTTACACATATAAGCACAAATTCATATAAGCTAAAATACTTGGCAATAAAATTAAACAAAAAACAATAAATTTTTAAGAAATGTCCCCTACTCATTTATTAAAATGGTACCTATCGTTCTTTTTTATCACAAAATTCATCTACCATTGAATCTGAGCTAAAAAAATTAGCAACTTCTTTTTCTATATATACAATAAAAGAGTCTTCAAGAAAATCATCTTTCATCTTTTTGTAAAGCCTAGTTTTAATAATGTTCATGACTGAAAAACCACGTCTTGTAGTTGCAGTAGAAATTAGAAGTATAATTACAAGTCTGATCCTTCTATAAAGGAATGAATAGATTATAAATTTTTTAGTCTTAACCAACCATTGACATAAATTTGAAGTACTTGATAGCTGTGGAAGATCTGGATTAATAAGTATATCATACTAAAAGACTATGAAGCACGGACACTCTCAAGAACATGACGTTTCTGTGTCAGACACGTATCGGACACCGACACTCTTCGGACACGTGTCCGATACTCTTTTATCCGTGTCCATAATTAAATAATAAATTTTTAATTTTGGACACATGTTGGACACTTCTTTGGTGATGTGTCCGACACTTCTTTAGAACATTTCTACTATTAAACAATTGACATTTATTGAAATGTGATTAACAAATCTTAAAAATTTGAGAAAATATAATTACTAATGCTAAACATATTAAAATTGTACTCTAAATATAATAATCAAAACAAAACATGCACAAAAGTTTTAAAAAAGATGAATTGAAAAAATGAGAGCAATTATTTAAATTATATATTTGGTACACATTGTCTACAAAAAAAATTGATAATTATTGACTATAATGAGGATGTTTTAGTCTAAAAATTCACATAGATGACTAGATATTAGGTTTTCTTATCATAAAATACTAATTTTTTTTATAAATTGTATATTATTATCACTATATTTGCAATAAATTATATAATGTTATATATAAAATATAATTTTTTTGTAGCATGCCCTCGACGTGTCTGTGTCCTACTTTTTTGATAAATACCGTATTGGCGTGTCCGTGTCGTATATGTATCATGTATCCGTGTCCATGCTTCTTAGCTAAAAGAGTTAAAGTTGCATTCTCAAAAGTACTTGCTCACATCCACTATGAAGAACTTTTCTGTCAACTTACAAATGTCATCAATTTGACAAACCTCTATAACGCCCCAAAAAAAATATATGATATTTTTTTATACCTTTTATAAGAACAAATCAGAAATACTAATCTCTTAATTCAAGGACAAAGTTCGGGTGCACGAACTGGTCCCTCAATCCATACATCAATCAAATCAAGACTTGTTTTTCGATTGAGATTACCCATATCAAAGACTTGGATACGATTCACCCAAATAATTGAGGTTCGTTCTATCGACCAACCACGCTTTTGTGGCCAGGGTACTTGAACCTTTGACCTTATAAAAACTAAGCCTTCATAAGATAAAAAGTATCATTACACCAAAGATCTTTTGATTAAAAATAAATTACGTTGTTAAGAAAGTTATGCCCTTTGAGATTGTAGGGCAGTACATAAGAGATCAAACCATATTTTGAGAAGGTGGTAATGCAATCTAGAATTTTGATTGGTAATGGGGCAAAAACAGATTTTTGGTGTGATGTTTGGCTGGGAGATAGGCCTTTGCTGCATAGAATTGGGAATTTGCCAGAGTCTTTCCCTAAAGTGTGTGATTTGGTGGTTGATTTTAATTGGCAGCTGGCTCAGGTGCAGCATTTGCTGAATGAGGAATTGAGAAATGAAATTTTGAATGCTGGGGTTAGCTTTTCTGCTTCGGATGATAGAATGGTTTGGAAAAATTCTAAATCTGGGTGTTTTTCTGTTAAAGCAGCATGGCAAATGAGTAGAGGCCAGGGTGAGAGGAATGTGGTGGCTAAAACTATTTGAAATTTGAATACAGCTCCTAGTGCAAAGTTTGTGGGATGGAAATTGTTGAAGCAGGTTTTACCTTTAGATTCAAGAGTTAAAAGTTGTGGAGTTAATATAGTGAGTAGATGTTATATGTGCTTGATGGAAGAGGAGTGTGCTGATCATATTTTTGTGGACTGTGTTTTTGCAAAATCAATTTGGGTTAGATTGGCTGCAATGGCTGGTTTCCAGTTAGTGGAGAAGGAGAGGCCTTTAGTAAGAATGATGAGGCTTTGTAGACTGTTTAGAAGGCAGTCTGATGGTTGTGCTTTGATAAGAAGTTTTGCCTTCTTGATTTTTTGGCAGATTTGGAGAGAAAGATGTCGAAGGAGAGCTGGTGAATGTTTTAAAAATTCATATTCCATTTTTCTTATTATTTGTAGTCTTTTGAGATTTAAAGTATTTGCTATTAAGCAGAAGGTAAGGGATGGGGCCAAAGAAAGGGGTATTTTGACAGCATTGGGTATATCTTTGCCCTATGTAATGAAAGTTAGAGCTACTTGGATGGCTTGGGAGTATCCATCAGCTGGGACTTTGAAGATGAATGTAGATGGTGCAGCAAAAGGTAATCCGGGACCATCTGGGGGAGGAATGGTGGTTAGAAATGAATGTGGTGGTGTGGTATTGGCTGCCTCTTTCTTTTATGGGGTATGTTCGAACATGGCAGCAGAATTTAAGGCTATGATGGATGGTTTAAGTATGTTGGTAAGAGGTGGATTGTCTGTTTATCATGTATGGATAGAATCAGATTCCTTGGTAGTGGTAAACACTATTAAAGGACTGTATCAGTGTTCTTGGCCTTATTTGGGGATTTTGGCACAGATCAGATAGCTATTGGCTGTGTTGAAGGTCCAGTTGAAGCATGTATATCGTGAAGCGAATTCAGAGGCAGATGAGCTGGCTAACAAGGCAGTTAAGGATGGATATTCCTTTGACTTTTCTATGACTCAGGTGCCTGCNGGCGAATTCAGAGGCAGATAACAAGGCAGTTAAGGATGGATATTCCTTTGACTTTTCTATGACTCAGGTGCCTGCTGAGGTAATGATGAAGATTCGTCAAGATCAAAGCAATTTACCTGTTTTGTGTTCTAAGAGTGTGCTGATTTTTTATGATGGTGGTTAAAGGAGGTGGGGAAATGAAATGAAGAAGGGTGTGGATGCTATGAAGAATCTGGATTGGGAGCTTATTGGTCTTTGCCTGCTTTTGTTTTTTGGAGGTTTTGGTTGCTTTTGTCCTTTCGAGCTTATTGCTTTTGTTTTGGAGAGGCGTTTGAGCCTTATTTTGGGTTGTGCTGTTAAGGTGTCGGTGCCTTTATTTGCTTCTTGTAATGATGTTTTGTTAATAAACAAAATTTTATTTTCCAAAAAAAAAAAAACAAGTACAATAATAGATCTAATTTCAATAGGATACCTGGTACACTGATATGTTTGTACATTAAAAGTACTAATTAACAAGATTTTCAAACAGACTTAAAAAAGGCAATTAAATGAATATAAACTTTTATAATCCAAACATATGGTTTAATATTAATGAAAGTTTTCTATTTGTGGCAAATTATTTATTTTCTGAATAATAAAAACTTAATGCTACTCTTGCTGCCCATATTTGCTTATCAACTTTTTTCACATAAACTGAGGTAAAACCATAGATTAGTAGATTCTCATTAATATCTAACGGGTCTAGCTAGGACATGTCAATTGGTAAGAAAAATTGATCAAACAATGTTATCGAGTACGGATAAATCTAATAGTATACAACACAAAAAAAAAAAAATTATTGATATTTGAGTCCAAAAAACGTGTAGTTAAGACTTTTTTTTGGTACTAAAAAAAAANATAGATTAGTAGATTCTCATTAATATCTAACGGGTCTAGCTAGGACATGTCAATTGGTAAGAAAAATTGATCAAACAATGTTATTGAGTACGGATAAATCTAATAGTATACAACACAAAAAAAAAAAAATTATTGATATTTGAGTCCAAAAAACGTGTAGTTAAGACTTTTTTTTGCTACTAAAAAAAAAAAATTAGGAAGGATCACCCTTATTATCATCAGAAGACAATTATGGATGTGTGGTATTGGATGGTGACGCTGGCATCATGTCATCGTCGTCTCCGACCAATGAATCGAATGACACGAGATAATCCGAGATGTCATCAAGCAATGCAGGAGAACCGACGTTGAGTCCANCTACTAAAAAAAAAAAATTAGGAAGGATCACCCTTATTATCATCAGAAGATAATTATGGATGTGTGGTATTGGATGGTGACGTTGGCATCATGTCATCGTCGTCTCCGACCAATGAATCAAAAGACACGAGATAATCCGAGATGTCATCAAGCAATGCAGGAGAACCGACGTTGAGTCCATTGGGTAAAGCCACACCATCGGTAGGAACACCATAGCCATATCCATACCTTGGATAAGTAAGCATTGCACTGGACATGGTGATGAAAGTTGTTGGTGGAAGAGGAGGAAGCTGAGGGTCTTCAACAAGAATTGGCTGTGCATTTGCGTTGGGAAGTAGAACTATCTCGTCATTATCAATTATANAGGTACTTGAACCTTTGACCTTATAAAAACTAAGCCTTCATAAGATAAAAAGTATCATTACACCAAAGACCTGTTGATTAAAAATAAATTACGTTGTTAAGAAAGTTGTGCCCTTTGAGATTGTAGGGCAGTACATAAGAGATCAAACCATATTTTGAGAAGGTGGTAATGCAATCTAGAATTTTGATTGGTAATGGGGCAAAAACAGATTTTTGGTGTGATGTTTGGCTGGGAGATAGGCCTTTGCTGCATAGAATTGGGAATTTGCCAGAGTCTTTCCCTAAAGTGTGTGATTTGGTGGTTGATTTTAATTGGCAGCTGGCTCAGGTGCAGCATTTGCTGAATGAGGAATTGAGAAATGAAATTTTGAATGCTGGGGTTAGCTTTTCTGCTTCGGATGATAGAATGGTTTGGAAAAATTCTAAATCTGGGTGTTTTTCTGTTAAATCAGCATGGCAAATGAGTAGAGGCCAGGGTGAGAGGAATGTGGTGGCTAAAACTATTTGGAATTTGAATACAGCTCCTAGTGCAAAGTTTGTGGGATGGAAATTGTTGAAGCAGGTTTTACCTTTAGATTCAAGAGTTAAAAGTTGTGGAGTTAATATAGTGAGTAGATGTTATATGTGCTTGATGGAAGAGGAGTGTGCTGATCATATTTTTGTGGACTGTGTTTTTGCAAAATCAATTTGGGTTAGATTGGCTGCAATGGCTGGTTTCCAGTTAGTGGAGAAGGAGAGGCCTTTAGTAAGAATGATGAGGCTTTGTAGACTGTTTAGAAGGCAGTCTGATGGTTGTGCTTTGATAAGAAGTTTTGCCTTCTTGATTTTTTGGCAGATTTGGAGAGAAAGATGTCGAAGGAGAGCTGGTGAATGTTTTAAAAATTCATATTCCATTTTTCTTATTATTTGTAGTCTTTTGAGATTTAAAGTATTTGCTATTAAGCAGAAGGTAAGGGATGGGGCCAAAGAAAGGGGTATTTTGACAGCATTGGGTATATCTTTGCCCTATGTAATGAAAGTTAGAGCTACTTGGATGGCTTGGGAGTATCCATCAGCTGGGACTTTGAAGATGAATGTAGATGGTGCAGCAAAAGGTAATCCGGGACCATCTGGGGGAGGAATGGTGGTTAGAAATGAATGTGGTGGTGTGGTATTGGCTGCCTCTTTCTTTTATGGGGTATGTTCGAACATGGCAGCAGAATTTAAGGCTATGATGGATGGTTTAAGTATGTTGGTAAGAGGTGGATTGTCTGTTTATCATGTATGGATAGAATCAGATTCCTTGGTAGTGGTAAACACTATTAAAGTACTGTATCAGTGTTCTTGGCCTTATTTGGGGATTTTGGCACAGATCAGATAGCTATTGGCTGTGTTGAAGGTCCAGTTGAAGCATGTATATCGTGAGGCGAATTCAGAGGCAGATAACAAGGCAGTTAAGGATGGATATTCCTTTGACTTTTCTATGACTCAGGTGCCTGCTGAGGTAATGATGAAGATTCGTCAAGATCAAAGCAATTTACCTGTTTTGTGTTCTAAGAGTTTGCTGATTTTTTATGATGGTGGTTAAAGGAGGTGGGGAAATGAAATGAAGAAGGGTGTGGATGCTATGAAGAATCTGGATTGGGAGCTTATTGGTCTTTGCCTGCTTTTGTTTTTTGGAGGTTTTGGTTGCTTTTGTCCTTTCGAGCTTATTGCTTTTGTTTTGGAGAGGCGTTTGAGCCTTATTTTGGGTTGTGCTGTTAAGGTGTCGGTGCCTTTATTTGCTTCTTGTAATGATGTTTTGTTAATAAACAAAATTTTATTTTCCAAAAAAAAAAAAACAAGTACAATAATAGATCTAATTTCAATAGGATACCTGGTACACTGATATGTTTGTACATTAAAAGTACTAATTAACAAGATTTTCAAACAGACTTAAAAAAGGCAATTAAATGAATATAAACTTTTATAATCCAAACATATGGTTTAATATTAATGAAAGTTTTCTATTTGTGGCAAATTATTTATTTTCTGAATAATAAAAACTTAATGCTACTCTTGCTGCCCATATTTGCTTATCAACTTTTTTCACATAAACTGAGGTAAAACCATAGATTAGTAGATTCTCATTAATATCTAACGGGTCTAGCTAGGACATGTCAATTGGTAAGAAAAATTGATCAAACAATGTTATTGAGTACGGATAAATCTAATAGTATACAACACAAAAAAAAAAAAATTATTGATATTTGAGTCCAAAAAACGTGTAGTTAAGACTTTTTTTTGCTACTAAAAAAAAAAAATTAGGAAGGATCACCCTTATTATCATCAGAAGATAATTATGGATGTGTGGTATTGGATGGTGACGTTGGCATCATGTCATCGTCGTCTCCGACCAATGAATCAAAAGACACGAGATAATCCGAGATGTCATCAAGCAATGCAGGAGAACCGACGTTGAGTCCATTGGGTAAAGCCACACCATCGGTAGGAACACCATAGCCATATCCATACCTTGGATAAGTAAGCATTGCACTGGACATGGTGATGAAAGTTGTTGGTGGAAGAGGAGGAAGCTGAGGGTCTTCAACAAGAATTGGCTGTGCATTTGCGTTGGGAAGTAGAACTATCTCGTCATTATCAATTATAATACCCCCATTATTCTCGTGTTGTTGTTCTCCATTGGCTTTACCAACTGCTTTCTCGTACATTTTGCACAAAACCCACTTATCCAACTACAAGCAAAAGAAGAAAAAAAAAGTTAGTTGCTGCCAAATTATAGATAACAAGATAGCTCATGAAAATTGATCACGAAAATTGATCCAGACATCCCTGACCATTGAACAAAAAAAAAAAAAATTATTGATTATTTTTTATAATATGCATGCAATGGTGTAAAATAGGATAATTNTCAGCATGGCAAATGAGTAGAGGCCAGGGTGAGAGGAATGTGGTGGCTAAAACTATTTGGAATTTGAATACAGCTCCTAGTGCAAAGTTTGTGGGATGGAAATTGTTGAAGCAGGTTTTACCTTTAGATTCAAGAGTTAAAAGTTGTGGAGTTAATATAGTGAGTAGATGTTANATAACAAGATAGCTCATGAAAATTGATCACGAAAATTGATCCAGACATCCCTGACCATTGAACAAAAAAAATAAAAAATTATTGATTATTTTTTATAATATGCATGCAATGGTGTAAAATAGGATAATTGGTTCCCATATAGTATAACTAGTTCCTACTTTATTTCATGGAGAATGATTTACCGAAGGAAGTTGATGAAAAATGTATATGAGAAGGTCGAGATCCTAAACACGGCGTATACACGACATAAGCTCAACACAAAATGATCCAAATTATACATGATTATAAATTCGCTTGGGTATGAATTGGACAAAAAATAAATAAACTTTATTTTGACACGAATTCGATACAACACGATTAATTCATGATGTTTACTCATATCTCATGTGACCTTGAGGATCTATGCCCACTAATTTGAATAAGTTGGCTGAAAAAGAAGAGTACATACCTCTTTGTCATTAGGATTCGTACATGGACGTGGATCAGCTCGTTTGCCATATCTATATTCATGCATCATCCAGTTAGTCTTGACTGGAGGTTCTACTTCCTTTTCCTTTCCCTTTCCGGTGCTTCCCTTGAAGAACACAAGAGATTTCTTGCATCCAATTTCTTCGCCATTGCTGAAGATGGGGACATCAGCTCCCATCGGCTTCCAAAATCCCTCATTTTGTACTGATCGGTTTGGTCGAGTACCATTCGGGTATTTCTTTATCCTTGAGGAAAAAAAATACCACACGGTTTCTCTATGTAATTTGAACATTTCTGTCATTAATTCAAAGCCAAAACATTATTATCCATATAAAATCTGAGCACATAGATAATACGGATAATATTATAGTTAAATTAAGTATTTAATTGTAATTTAAAAATTATTTTTTAGCTTTTTCGAGATGTGAATGTACTAATTGAATATTTGAATTATGTGTTGTTAAGATATCTTTCTCAGCCAATAATGTTACTAATCCATTCAAAGTCTAATAATTAATTTAATGGCAAGATAAATATTTATTCAATTTAATCGGTGTCAGATTATGAAAAATAAAAAATATATGAACAACAATATTCAAACCCAATATCACATGTTTAAGTATTGTTTTATGCGGGGCGCCAAATACATCTAGCAGCAGGGGCGGTTGCCATGGTTAAATATTCGAGGGAGCCTGAAAACCCCACAAAATCTTGCAAAGCCAGGGGCTCAGATCAGCAAGATTTATTCTTGATTTACTGAAGAAAGCCGAGAGTAATGCAGAGGTGAAAGGTTTGGATGTGGATTCGCTATACATATCACACATCCAGGTTAACCAAGCACAGAAGCAGAAGCTGTCCAGAAGGAGCCTGAGACTCAGTTGGCTCCTAGGAGGACAAAGAAGAATCAAGATTTACTCAGTGGAGCTTCTTCTTGAATCAAAGTGACGGACTGATTAGGAGACACAAGAATTTGATTTTCTTTGTCATATCTATCATGAATGCATTTTTCTGTTGCTGATTAAGAAATTGCTACTAAAAGGTTATTTCGGGATATTCCTAGTATGTTATTATCTTTGTGAGTTCAGAACTTATGTTGGAACACAATCAGGTCATTGTTGACTAGTTTGTCTGTTTTGCTATTGGAAAGAGAAAAAAAAGGGGGGGGGGGGGGNTAGTATACAACAAATTTTAATATTTTAATGGTTCTTTTTACAATTTTATAAGTTATTTTACAATAAAAAAATTTATCACTTTTGTAAGTAATTTATTACTATTATAGGTATTTTTACCACTGTTGTGACACTTGTAATCCATACTAAATTTTTAGTGGTAAATATATATGAAAAAAAAAAAATTGGTACCTCAAACTTTCCTTATTTCAATTCAATTCGTCTATTTTNATAACCCTGTTCTGCTTGTTTCGTCTATATTTCTCTTTTCGTATTATATCTGCAAACTCATGCACAAAAGTATGGACAACATGTTTCATAATTAATCCAGTAAAAACAAGATTATTCACATTCTACAAAAAAAAATAAAATAAATAACAATTAGCATTGAACATGAATTTTCATGTTGTTGCTTTGCCCAAAAAAAAAAAATNAAAGTGGAAAATCAGGCCCCGGCAGAGGCTCTCACAGTACATGGTACGGTAACTTGCAATAGCAGCACATGACTGCGTAAAGAATGCTGCCCCAGGTATTGCAAACTGCTTGAATATATTTGAAGCCGATGGTATGTTAGCATCATAGACGAGGCACTTCACTGGGTAATCAGAGCTTTCTTGTTNCAGTGGAAAATCAGGCCCCGGCAGAGGCTCTCACAGTACATGGTACGGTAACTAGCAATAGCAGCACATGACTGCGTAAAGAATGCTGCCCCAGGTATTGCAAACTGCTTGAATATATTTGAAGCCCATGGTATGTTAGCATCATAGACGAGGCACTTCACTGGGTAATCAGAGCTTTCTTGTTTCCTAATGAGTTCAGTTAAGTTCAGTGAACCACTAGCTTCAAACCTGTCAAGAAAGCCCTTAAATCCTCCAGCTCCTGACGTCTCACCTTCGCTGCAATCATCGTATATTGATTCAAATGTAATTGAGCCAGCTGCTGCCTTGTCCATGATATGCAAGCACCACAACATGTGCTTTGCAAGCTTTTTCTTTCTTACACAAAGCTGAAACAAACAAAAATAAACCCTCAACAAAGGCTGTCTACACTGCACGTACATCGATGGGTCCCATTACCCTCAATTCCCTGCCGTCAACCTTGTTTTTGTATATAACTAACTCATCGTGTACAAAGCAACACCGTGAAAAGGCAAGTGTTAATTAAGTCGGCTACACACAACCAAATATCAATTTAGGTCCTATACTTCTAATGCTACCAAAGTCGCGCCATATGCACATAGTAATTCCACAACAATCATAATGTTATTTTCCAATCGAGAGTGCTAGTACAGCTGGATTGAATACATTCAAACCTACAAATTGTTAGCCTCAACAGAAACCAATGCACTAGGAAATGACCTCTATAGATGCCAAAAACAATCCGATCAAATCTCGTGTTCTCATAAACCTCAAAACCGAACTTTCACATTTATTTCGCATGGGAAAAAAAAAAAACTAATCTCAATGTTCACAGATATGGTCTGCACCTAAAAAGATCTGGACATAAATTACGNATGTTCTCATAAACCTCAAAACCGTACTTTCACATTTATTTCGCATGGGAAAAAAAAAAAAAAATAATCTCAATGTTCACAGATATGGTCTGCACCTAAAAAGATCTGGACATAAATTACGGAAATAAAAAAAGGAACAGAANCTCAGTTGGCTCCTAGGAGGACAAAGAAGAATCAAGATTTACTCAGTGGAGCTTCTTCTTGAATCAAAGTGACGGACTGATTAGGAGACACAAGAATTTGATTTTCTTTGTCATATCTATCATGAACACATTTTTCTGTTGCTGTTGCTGATTAAGAAATTGCTACTAAAAGGTTATCTTTGTGAGTTCAGAACTTATGTTGGAACACAATCAGGTCATTGTTGAGTAGTTTGTCCGTTTTGCTATTGGAAAGAGAAAAAGGGGGGGGGGGGGGGGGGNTTCTACTTCTAATAAGGTGTGTTCCCACCGATTGAAGGTGAGGTCATGGTCAAGAGAATAACAGTCACAGCAGTCATCGCACTCAAAGCTGCTTTCAGAACATCCTGTGAGCATCCTGGTTTCACAATCATCCGCACCTGGAAAATGAATAAACAAAAGTAGAGAATATGAAATTAACACAAGGCAAAGATNGGGGGGAAGCTGTATTATTTTCTATGGAATGTTGATGGCACACAGTCTAGGTCGTTGGATGTATTATTATGTTTCATCTTTAGGATGATTTACCTAGCAATATGCATAACCCTGTTCTGCTTGTTTCGTCTATATTTCTCTTTTCGTAGTATATCTGCAAACTCATGCACAAAAGTATGGACAACATGTTTCATAATTAATCCAGTAAAAACAAGATTATTCACNAAACTATAAAGTTCTCAAAGTTGGCTAACATATTTACCATGAAATCTACTGATGCAACTCAGGCTAACTGGACCTCCCCCTATTTATACTTTGGTAACTTGATCTAGAACAACTACATCAAATGAGTGAGACCCTTGAACAACCGAAGTCCATCCTTTGCAACTGAGACACCTTAAACTGCGGTTCTTCATTTTCCATTCCTCGGATTGGCAGAATGAAACCCAAGGCTTATCTAATTCAACCCCCCCCCCCTCCCCCCTTCTAGCATAGATCTGTGGCCCACCCAATGAACGGAGTATTAAGAAAATCTATCACTGGGAGTTTTGACTGGTATCAAGCTTATCTAAAAGACAGCATCCTCTACAGCAACATCAATCAAAGTTACATAAGCAAGGACTGCAAAGTGCAAACCATGTTTGGATGTGACTGGAGAGTGCATTCCAAAGCAACATATGATGCCTTTCGTAAATTACCCTTGAACAACATGAGTCGGACAAAATAATAATACTGAAGACAAAAGTAAATTACTAAGATTTTGTTAAAAAAAAGGTAAAAACATACGGGAAAAAAAAAAAAGCATGGGAAAGGTATGCAAAACAAAGGCAGCTGGGCTGCTCAAATGCGTAACAGAATTGCTTGAAGTATGCAGGGTGATTAAGGCCAGCCTTGTCACTCCATCTTTGGCTAAAAGCAATTCAAAGAACCTAAAGTAAAATGCAAACGACATGGCTTACCCAGGAGGATATAAATTTTTAAAAAATGGGGAAATTACCTTCTCTGCTGAAAGAGCATCTGTGCAGACATTGCTGATGAGCTGGGAATTAACCTAATAAGAGCCAATAAAATAATGTTATCAGATTCTTCTCAAAATCTTTCAAATGCATATAATCTCAGAATAACATCTTACAATTTCGGAATTTTTTAGTTGCGTTTTATATGAAAATACCATCCTTTGCTTTTTAGTTGCGTTTTACATGAAAATACCATCCTTTATTAAAGCAGCGGCACATAATCCAGCAAATTATATTTAACATTGGAGATAAAATGGGACGGGAAGTCTAAAACAAGAAAGAATATGCTGACGACACAACTATAATTTCGTCTTATAATGAACCCCAAACCAAGAACAAACACAGTTCCAATGCATGGAATTTTCGCCAGCATCACCTCGTCAGTAATCCGCAGAAGAGGCAGAGAGACAAGTTGAAGTATGCATACCAATGTGAAGCAGGGTATAAGCCCATTTTAATGGTGAATAATCAAAATGTGGTTCGAGGATAATAACTTCAAAACACAGTACTTGCTTCACTACAAAATTCGATTCTTAACTGAAAAAAATACATGCAAGGCATTCAATAAGCTGTTGACATCACTGGACTAGTACCTTACATATGGTATCAAAACCAACATTTGTTTCAACAAATTGGTTTTTGAGATCTCCATTCAAAGTAACAGGAATCCCAACCACCTGCAAAATTTCAACCAATCAGGTTATCCTGTTCTTAGTTCAGAAAGAAACTATGCTGACCTAACATTACAGAAGTGTCATGATAGCTTTATGTCCAAAACCAAAAGTACTGAGGACCACAATAAACTACTTGTGAGAAACTTCAAATTTATATATAAATTGTCGAAAATCTAGACCATGTCTTACGATATATTTCCAAATAACCCAACGCAATAGTCACTTTGACAAGTCAACTTGATAAATTTCTAAACTTCCTGAAACATTAACTTCTGAAGGGCAGTTTTGAAAACTTATTAAATGAGATGCATCAACAGTTGTCTCCTTAACAAGTTGGAGTTCCAACAAGGGACTTAAATTTTGGGACAGAGGAAGTATGAAAATGTCTTTTTCTCTTTCAGTAAGTAAAGTATGAAAAATGTCACATGAACTAGGTACCTTAGTTGGCCATTTTGCTTCTGCAAAAGTTTCAGCAAGCTGAGCAGCGTCTGTGTTTGATGTCACCCCTTTAAAAGGTACAAAATATTTACGTTAAGAAAAAAATTAATTCTATATGTTGGATGTCTATGGTGACCCTAAAGCAGAGGATCAGAGATACCTCCGACAATGACAAGGCCATCCAACTTAAAATCTCTGCATGCGTTGAGCGCAGCATTGACTTGCTCAGTTGTTCGTATTTGATCTTTCGTTCTTCCCAGCAAATCATAACCACCTTGACAGGGTTATAGCATAAAATAAACTTTCCTGAAAATAAAAATCGCGATCTGAAAATTAAGTACTAGTAAGTCATAACTACCCTGATTTTTGTAGGTTGCAAGAATGTCATCAGTGATCTCAAGGGTCTTTTGTGCAAATATACCTTCAGAACCACCTGGTAGCAAGCATAAAAGACTTCTTTTAGATATCATCAAACTAAGGTTGGGCATAATGTGCTTGTGACGCAAAATGCAAGAAGAAAGTGTGATTTACTGATATGTAACAAGACAGCATCCTAATCATTGGCTAGGTGATAAGGAAACAAAACCAAATAAGAATGTTCAACAATGACTTTTTTTTCTAGATATGGGTGTGTGCACATGGACCTGTGTAGAGGTCCATGGTAAACAAAAAACTTCAAGCCAGAAGAGGAAAACAAAAATGCCACTAACCCAGAAATCCAAGCAAAGATCTGTTAGGGTTGTGAATCTTGAGAGCATTGTGAAGGCCCCATATGACATTATGTCCTCCGGGAGATTGTCTACCACAAAAAACCACACCAACCCTAGAAAGAAGAAATTAAAAAATCAGCATACTTGGACGTATAACAAAAATATTGTGATTACGAAGAAATCCGTCCCCAAGATGACTTACACAAGCACAACGAGCCTAGAGATAGTGATATTGCAAGCAATAGAGACCACTGCATCTGTAATGCAACAATTTCTCAATATGTCTGGCCCTTACAGTGGATCATAATGCCAAAAGGAGAGTAAAGAATGTCAGTGCAATAAAACTGAGGGCAAACCAGCTAAATTGACAATATAATATAAACTTCATGGGAGAGAACAGTTTTGGTTTCAATTTTGACGTTGCAGTGCTTGTTTTCTGAGTAAATTAAACGAAGCAAAGTCATTATCCAGTACATACCTAATTGCTGGATGGTCAGTAATTATCTGGGCATCAGGGACTTTGGCAGTTGCCCTAAGAAAGTGTGCTAAAGGCTGACCGTAAGTGTGGAAAAGACCGGCTTATGGTGTGGGCACCAGAGGAGTCTGCAGCAGTGGTTGCATCACCAAATTCTACACAGACAGTAGTCCCCTGCAAAATAACAATACACAAGTACAAGCTAGGTTAATAAGCAATGACATGGAGGTAAAGAATAAAGAATCAATAACCCTACTTAGATGGGAATTATTAACCAAGAAGACCATCATCATGCTATTCTCTTAAAAAATGAAGCATGGAACAAATGCTATGAACTACATATGTATGAGGATAAATCAACCATGCATGGCCATCTCAGTAACAATGATAATATTTTCAAAATGGTATCGACTAATGTACAAAGAAAATGAGGAACAATATAGAATATGTATATCATCTGTCTGAAAATTTACCCCAAAACCACACAAGGCGTTATTTTTGTTTGTTCTCATAGACCAACAAGAGTGTAAAATCCAGACATTTGAGTATGAATATAGCATCTCAAATAATGTATTTGTGATTCTTGCAAACACAAAATCATCATTTTCATTATTGCTGTCTTAATTTGCTATCAATTCTTCTTGATCCTCATACAATACATACATGTCTATGATTTAGAATTGAGAGAGCGCCATAATCTGCTAAAGTTTTATTTCTTCTGTGACAATTACACGTCAGAGACAGTAATGTACATAACAAGCAGCATTGATGATTTCAACCCATAGAATCATGGAAGTTAATTTGATCCAAAACTTCACTCTGTTTTACTTTGGTATTTCAGCATGACGTCATCGAAATCATTGGCCGAAAGGTATGCTAAGAACTCACAAGACAAGTGGTAAGCCAAGTCTTATAAGCTGGGTTCAAATTTAGGTGGTTAAGCAGAATGTGGCAAATGGACGTTTCTTATGCATAATTCCTTACATCTTCCTCTCATAACCCCAAAGCGTTTGGTTTCCTTTTTCTTTTGAGAAAAGGTAAACGGAAGGAACTCAACTGCAGACGAGTCTGCAAAATTGCCTAAGTAATCATTTCCCAAAAAATCCAATGTAGACCAGTATTATTTAAGGCGTAAAGCGAACCGAAGCGACCAAGGCTACTAACAAAAAAAAATATTTTAGTTTAATTACTTATACACATCTAAGTTCTAATTTTATATACACTAAATAGTTAAATGCAAGTAAAACCATAAATATTTAAATTAAAACAAATACTAATAATAACAAAAATAGCATGTCATGTACTGAATCTATTTTTAGAGTATGTCAACCAAATGTGTTTTTGTGAAAGTATATCAATCAACCACATCTGTTATCTATTTTTATGTATATTCATAGGCTTATACACACGTACTGAATCACATTTCACACGTACTGAATCACATTTCACACGTACTGAATCACTTTTCAGGACAGCAAAATAGGACAACAAAACAGCAAAACCAGAATCAGCGCACAATCAGAATCAAAATCAGGAAAAAAAAAAAAAAGGAGCAGAAATGTCTGTCGATGTGTAGGAGCAGAACCAGCAAAAGAGAAGGAGACTAACCTGTGCATAGCCTCCAGCGTGTCTGTCGATGTGTAGGAGCAGAATTAGAATCAGGAAAAAAAAAAGGAGCAAAATCTGTGCAGCAAGAAGAAGATCCAGAACCAAAAATGAGAAGAAAAAAAGAGAAATAGAAGAGAGAAAAAAAAAAAGAAAGGAGACTAACCTGTGTAGCGATCAGTGAGATCAGTCTAGCCTCCAGTGTGAGCAACGAAGAAATCTGTCAATGCANAGGAGCAAAATCTGTGCAGCAAGAAGAAGATCCAGAACCAAAAAAAAAAAGAAAGGAGACTAACCTGTGTAGCGATCAGTGAGATCAGTCTAGCCTCCAGTGTGAGCAACGAAGAAATCTGTCAATGCACAATGAAGAAATCTGTCGATCGAGTCCAGCGTGAGCCAACGATCTGTAAGAGTCCAGCGTGAGCAACGATCTGTAAGAGTCCAGCGTGTGCAACGATCTGATTTAAATTATGATTTGGGTTGTATTTATTTGATAAGGGGATGATTTGGTGTATCACATCTTATAATTTTTTTTCCAATTGCCCAATCTAACGGTCCAAATTAAAAATAAAACATTTTGCTTCTAATAACAAAAGCAGTCGCTTTTTCGCCTAGCGCTTAAGCGTTAGGCGAACGCATTTCTCGCTTCACTCACATTTGCTTTGCTTGGGATCCTCCAGGCAAGATAGCCTCGCCTAGCCTTGCTTCTCACCTAGGCGTGCTTTTTCACAACACTAATGTGGACATTATCAAAATGAATGAAAGGGAGACAAGCACCACAGGCTTGGTCAAAACCCAAAGAAGCTGACCAGAATTATTTGAGGATAACCAAATAATCTTTTTTGTTTTTCAAAAAAAAAAAAAAAGAATCCCCAACACGACTACAATAGGCTCTGGCATAACTGAAAAAATGTATGTAGTTGCCCTTAACTTAAGACTAAGGGCTAACTCCACTATGGCCTCCTCAAGACTCTGATAATTTCAAAGAAAGAAAAACTCGGGGGGGGGGGGGGGGGGGGGGG